TATATATATATATATAGCTTTGGGCTATAGTAAATAGAGGGAAGCCATTTTGTTAGAAAGTGCACACCACTTAGGAGGCTTGGAGCAAATCTGAGGTCACAGTATCATGAAAGATGCTGCTCACGGTTCGCTCAGAAACGAGCCTAATTTCACTCATCCTGACTCAGAAATCCGCTGAGTGTCCAGAGTTGGCAGCAACATCCTGATACCTGTTGAAATCTGGAGGTAAACGCAGATCTGGGCCTGCATGTATGGAGATCTGACATCAGATCCGGATCAGACTCGCGTGCTATCAACAATGTCATCAAAAAGGAGAACACGCGATTTTTATTCAGAAAACACTTAATCCCTGTGCGAGCCTCCAGGCCTGGCCCACGCAGAAGCCCCTCTGATTAAAATAAACTGGGAGGAGACGGGTAAAAAAAATAATAAAAAGAAAAGAGAGATAGAAGGTTTATGGAGCGCCTTCTTAACCAGCTCCTGCTCTGTTTCTTTTCTTCTTATTCCGGAGCTAAAGTGATTATAAAATCAATATACAAAACGCAGAGGTCTTGCATGAATTAGCTCGCTGACGGGGGAAAGGTGTGGCAGCTGCTTTGTTCGCCATGAAAATCTCTTTAACGCGCTCAAAGATGCGACGGGGCTGCGCGGGACCAAGGCAGGGCGCATCTGTTGGGTTCATGCATCCGCCTCGTGCAAGCTCAGGTTCACAAGCCGCTCCTTTCTTTTCGGCATATAAAAGGTCAAAGTGCGCCCTCTAAAATCCCACAAGCCTCCAGTGAAACGGTATGTAAAAAAACAACTACAAAGAGCCGAAGAATATCATAAAAATTCTAAATTGAATGAAAAAGATGAAATCTATCAATCTAAAAATTATTTGCATCGATATTATATATTTTCATTACGTCAAAATATAAATTAAATCACATGCGCTAATTTTAAAATTAGAAATACCCGACACTTAAAAAAATAACTAAAAAATAGATACAAAGTATTCCATAATATTTACAATCCATGCGTAATTACCAATTTTTTTAACCTTATTATATTATCAAATTATAATAAGACATCATAATTTCTATTTAGATAATATCATTTGTAATTCATGCAAAATACATATTTAAAACCATATTTACTGTTCTGGATTTACAACTTTTGAAAAAGAAAAAAAAGTAAAATAAAAAATGAGACTTTAACCAGTTGAACAAATTCTGCTTTGGAGAAAAAAAACCCAAAACATTTTACGCGACTGAAATTACGTGTCAGTTTGTTTAACCAGCGCCGCGTCTTTAAAACCGGCTCAGATGTCGCTGCATAAGTAACAAAGTTGATTGACGTTAAGTCCGTAATTGGATAAACTACGGTGCTTTATGCTGCTCGAGTCGGCTATTGTGTCCCGAAGCCCGATCCGTTAATCCGCCCTTTACCGGAGAATGGAGCAACCAGCGGCTTTTCTTTGCCCCAGCAGACACACACACACACACACACACACACACACACACACACCCTTTTTTCAACTTGGCCATTTCTTTACATCGAAAGGAATTATGTAAAATATGGGTCACGTGTGTTTCTGGGAGAAATAAAGGGATGGTTTCACAATAGGGCGGTATAGACTGCCAGTCAATTAACCTTTAGAAACGGGCCTGCCTTTCAGAGGCGTCGTGCCGTGTGGACTTGACATTTACTTAGCCCGCTTTTTGTACGCTCACGTTTTGCTTCGGAAACAAAATTATCTCAAGATCAAATCCAATGTGAGTAAAGTTACAGTCCCTGAGTGGAAAGCGTCAAGTCTCACAGACAGACGTCTGTTATTCTGTTCAGCATTTCGGAACTGCAGTGGAACAAGAGGGGAAGGTTTTTGATTAGTGGGCCAGTGGGGCAGGGATATATCCGTGTTTACTACTTCTTGTTAAAGCAATCACAATGGAGATTTGTTTGTTTTTTATGTTTTGGGTCTGGATTCGGAGGCCGCCGGTACCTGCAGGTCGTCTGCCGCCGGCGGAGGGAGGCCCAGGCCGGCGGCGGGCAGCAGCCTCTGGTCCGGGTGGTGCATGCCTACGCCGTAGGCTTGAGAGCCGTGTGACGTCATCAGCGACAAGTCATGGCGCCGGTAAGCGTCGAGGCAGCCCAGCTCGCGCCGCTGCTGCTCGTCCAGGCACGAGGACTTGAGGGCCGAGCGCGCGTTGTGGAGGTTGATGAAGTCGGCGGGCTCCCCGTGGTGGATCTGCTGGTAGTACTGGCCGGAGTGCAGCGAGTTCAGCCCGTAGGCCTCCGGGGCCACGGCCGGGTGGGAGTGCTGGAACTCGTAGTGGAAGGACTGGTGGTGCAGGGGCGTGTACTGGTGGTTGGCCGAGAAGTAGGGCGAGGCGAACTCCGTCCCCGCCGGCGCTGGGTAGGTGAGCGGCGACGAGGAGGAGTAGGCGACCGAGGAGTTGGCCACCGACTCCAGACAACCCAGCTGCATGAGCCGGTAGCTGTTTGAACCGTCGTGACGTATCTGGAAGATAATAAAGAGACAGGGAAAGATATGAGCAGTGTCATTTAGCATCAGCCGGTGTCTCCTCTCTGCCTCCCAAACACACTCCAAAACACAAGTCACACACTCTCAAAGCGGTTTTTTTTTCTTCCTCTCTCCTCCTCACTTTAAACCACCTGAAGGAGATGTCATTTCAACGCGCCTGGGAGGGGAACGATCGCGCTGCAACAGGAGCAATAGGTAGTTTTTTTTCCCTCCCTTTGGCATGCCTGTCACTCTCTGTGCAGCATTTAAAAAGGCGTGCTTTTATATGTTATTATTATTACCGAGCTGCTGGCAAATTCACTACCCAGCCCTGCTGCTCGCCATGGAGGAGAGGTAAGACACAAAGGCGAGTTCTGCCCTGAAATGTCCTAATCACACATTTATAATAAAAATAAAACCCAAATAAGACTCTTTTAGCCACTTCTTTTTCTGTTCTTGCACTCCATGAACTACTTTTCTTTTACAGTTTAACCAAAACCATTTTTTCCCAACTCGGCACCCTTCGCTTTTATTCTATACATTAAATCCTATTAAATGAAATAAAGCAGCCTACCTCTGCGTCGTGGACAAGTCCGGGGAAGGTCGCTGACATTGTTCTTTCTCCAAAATAACCCGTAATATTTTGGTCTTACTCTCCTATACGACCCGATCGAATAATAATAGTAACAATAACGATGATAATAATAATAATAATTTAAAAAGTGCTTTAAAATCCTCCAAAAAAAGCGAGAGAGATGGAAAAGTTCCCCTTTTGCGCGCTCTCGGTTTTGGTAGAAAGCTGGCGGAACGCGAGCGTCTCCCCTCTGCACGGACGGGGCTGGCGCACGGATTTTGTACTTGCAGGGTATTTCTCGGCTGATGTCGTAGGTCCCTTGGTAATATAGAAGTTTTGAAAATTAAGCATCAGCACTGAGGAATGGGAGGACAATAGACGGAGAAGGAGCATCCCAGGAGACAAGGAATAAATATTGTATCTTCGCCCTAATAAGGAACCGAGAGCTTCTTTCAACGTTTTCGACGCTTTTTGTGGACATTTTTTCCCCCGTTTTTGACTCGTTTGTGTTTCCACGAGGTCCGCTGCTCGGTTTTTCGTCGTGATATTATTGTTTTTTACTCGCAGCTGCAATAGTCGTTTTAACGAAAATCGTGCGGATTTTCAACGAAAACTGTAAGTTTAATTTGCAATGTTTCGGAATAAGCTTTGACTGTAAGAACATGCTTATATTTCTGCTGAAAGCGGTCATGTTCTCATGAAACTGGATGCTTTTATGCTTTCTGCATGCACCAACTGTTAGCCTTTATATTGTTTTTACATTAAATACTGTTTTCACGTATTATCCGTTTGCGTTTTCAAATAATCAATATTTTCACAGATTAATTTACTGCAATAAACGATTCGAATAACATATTTTTGCAGACAGTTGGAAATTTATTCGTGTTTATATGTTTTTTTGTTGTGTACAAATCTGTTGTTTTTTTCCACATTTTTCAGCTTTTTCTAACTTCTACATTAATCTTCTGATGCATTTCATTTATTTTTTCCCGTTTTTCTCCGCAGTCTGGGAATGTTTTCTTTGTTAATAATGAACTCATTACTAATGCTGTAGACGCGCATGTCTGGTTTCAAACGTGTTTATTATTATTTTGTGAGTACAATTTTTATTTTATGGTGTTTTTCTTCATATTTTCCTTTCTCTTATTGCTGTAACTCACCTGAGCGCCCGGGGTGGTCCTGCCCAGCTCAGCGGTGCCGTCATACAAATTATGGTGTTTTTGTTTACTTTAAAAAAATATCTTATATGTATTATTTTTTAAGAGTATATACTAGGGGAAAAATGAAATATTTTATCTGATAGGAAAATAAACGCAGCTAAACACTAACAGGTGAATAAAACCTGCAATAAAAACAATACAAGCTACACGACAAGCATACAGGAAACAGACAGTGACTTGCCCTCAGGCCTTCTGGTAAAAGCAATAGAAACACATAAACACAAACGCGGAAGTTTCTGTGGTCTGAGCCTGTTGGCGAGGAGCAAATAGAAATAAAGGAGAGGGATAGAAACCGGAGGAGAGGAGAGGAGAGGAGAGGAGAGGAGAGCTATTCTACTGTCTGTCAGATTTCCTGCCACTCAAAAACAAACCAGAGAAAAAGAGAGAGAGATGAAGAGTGAGGGAGGGGGCAGCGGTTCTCAGTCGGAGCAGAGATAAGCCCTAATCAGTCTTGTTTTGGATGTCTCTTTTTCCCTACTCAGCTGTAACTGCAACCAAAGCGACTCGCTGATATTATTAAAGTGCAGACTGTGGCCGCGCTGACGCCGCGGTTGACTCTGCGCTTTAATTAAGTAACTATTTCCCCTCCCATCTGTTCCTGCATCCCACTTAATCTCAGCCCAAATATCGGTTGCAAAATGAACAAAAGCAACAACCCGCAATTAAATAATCACGACGGAGAAAATAATGTGTAGCTGCAGTTTTGCTCTTTATTACCGAGTCATGTGTGCCGCCGCTCACTTTCTTCCTGATCAAAAAGACAGTTTGTCCCATTTTTTTTTTACATTCAAATACAAGAAAGAAAAAAAATCATCACATTAAGCAAATAGCGACCCTGGCAGAGACGCGGTGGTGCATCGGGGGCGCCGTAAATACCCTCTTTTAAAAAGTTCTCAAGGCCTTTTATATTTTAATTAACCGATACCGATTGTTTTGCCTGGAGGCTCGACGTGAAACCTCTGCGCGACCAGACCGGTGAAGGCCGGCTGTCGTACGCCAGGTATTAAAAAAAAAAGAAAGGAAAGAGGAAGAGAGGGAGGGAAGAGGGTGGAGAGAGTGGAAAAGAGGAGGGGGATGAACAGGAAGGCCAGCAGGAAAAGAGAGAGGTGAAGGGAGCAAGAAAGCGTCTATATAAAGTGATTAAATGTGGCGATGCATCGTTTTTTAATTGTCATTTGACACCAAACCTTCATGAGAACAGCAACATGTTTGATTTTATGTTTTTAAACAAATCATGATGACACCAGAAAGGCTCCATGTGTAACAAGATTACATTATATAGACAGAAAAGACTTCACTTCTAAATGAGGTATAAATGTGGTAATAATGTGCTTATTGTGGATTAAATGGGCAAACCAAGCCAAGACATTCAACAGCAAACTATGCTCTAAAAATTTAAATTTACAGCTCTAGTTGTAATCATACGTGTGAAATTGGTCATAGTTTGATGGTTATGTCAATTTAAAGGTGTTAAAAATTTCTGCAGTTTTTTCTGTGTTGGAGTTACATAAAAGGGACAGAGTAAATCATCTTCCTGGATCTTAATTAGTTAATTGAAGTGGAAATGGGGGCACCAGATAAAATTCAGCTCCGGGCCGCATAAAATCTTGGGTCGGCTCTGTTTTGATGGTAGATTCCTGTTAAAATAATATTTGTTTCAAATAGGTTTTTAAAAACAAAGAAAACAAATATGACAAAATGAAACAGGGGCTGCACAGTTGGTAGAGCTGTGGCCTTGCAGCAAGAAGGTTCTGGGTTCAATTCCCAGCCCCGGTCTTTCTGCATGGCGTTTGCATGTTCTCCCTGTGCATGGTGGGTTTTCTCCGGGTACTCCGGTTTCCTCCCACAGTCCAAAAACATGACTGTCAGGTTAATTGGCTTCTCCAAATTGCCCCCAGGTGTGAGTGTGTGTGCATGGTTGTGTGTCTCTGTGTTGCCCTGTGACAGACTGGCGACCTGTCCAGGGTGACCCCGCCTCTCGCCCAGAACGTTAGCTGGAGATAGGATGGACAAAATGAAACATGTAAAAACATAACCACTTTATGTACTTAATTATCATAAATTTCAGTGTGGATGTTCAGACATTGTGAGTGGTGTTCCTCAGGGGTGAGTGTTTGGTCCCAAATTATTCATTTCATTCATTGATGACATAAGTAAATCATCGACAATCCTAAGACTTGTTTTATTTATCATTCAAATATTTTATCTTCTCTTTCATGCTATTATTGTCTGTTTATTTCATGAATTTACAGTTTAAAATGAACATGCCGCATGTTGACATAAACAAAATAAGTTTTGAAGAAACGAAATCGTGCCTCTTCTTCCAAAAATGTGAATTCAAAGCATCAATCAACCATCCGTATTTCAACGTACTTTTCTGATTTAAAACATGAAAGAGACATGTTGAATAGAAATTATATTAATATATATTGTGTTATGAGTTAAAAAACAACCAAAAAAAAAAAACTCAAAAAACGAAATAATATAGAAGGGAATCCCACAGATCTTCATTTCTACATCACGAAGCACATTACTCACATTTTCCTTTGTATTATTATTATTATTATTATTATTATTATTATTATTATTATATAAATAGTAGAAAATGAGGTACGTTGCGGCTACAGTCCATCGCCGAACCGAGGCACCAGTTGCGCGTAACGGGGCTTAACGCCTGCGAGTGGCCCTTCTTTTACCAGGGGGCCGAGCGCGCCGCAGCAGATGCGCACTGATCTCCGGACAGGAGCCAGTCCATCTGGCGCCTGACGAGGCAGGGAAAGGCCCGAATCCCGCTCGGTAGTTCAGCCCAGAGGCGAGAATTTAGATCAGCCCCGAGGTTTTCTGGATGGACCGACTGGGAGCGATGGGGGGCGGCGGGGTGCGTGGAGGGGGCCCGTCATCCTTAAGGGCCAACAGGAAGTAATAATAACTTCACGGTTGGGATTTGAACGCGTGTGTGACCTAATATTGTAATTTCTCATCAATATTCCGAAAAATCCAGGCTGTCTAATGGTGTCCGTTTTATTTATTTCAGTTATTATTGTTATTGTTTTTACTTTTTGGCGCGTATCTCTCATCCATTCAAAAAACGAAAATCAGTTGCGAATTTATCAGACCCATGACGTCTTTTTTAAACTTTTCATCTACAATGTTACCTTGTTTTGACAGAAAACAACATCATCGCCTCTATTCCCCTGGATAAAATCATGTTATTGTTTATTAATGAATTAGTTTTTAGATAGTTTAACAAACTGGACGTATTTCATTTCACCAGCATCTGCATAAAACGTCATAATAAGCTCCCCAAAATACCATGAAACCACATGACGTTTGGAAACATCCCTGATTTCTCAGCATTTCTGACCATATTTCGTTTTAAAAATAGAAAAGCAACAATAATACTCATTGAAATTCAGTCTACGTGTCTCTGAAAGCTTCCACTGGACGTATTTTACGTAGTTTATTCCAGTAACTCTGTTCAAAATGTTTTGTTTTCTTTAACCAGTTTTCTTTAAGTTAAACTCAGTTAAACTGATTAACCACACCCACATTTTCCAGTATTACATCAGTAGACATCTTCAACAACCATTTCCCGTTGTTTAGACGGAAGTAGGCGTTTTTTCTGTCTGCTGAACGGAAGTGATGACGCTAATCTCATTAGAGACTATTTCTAATTGTTTTTAGTTATTTCATTTAAAGACCACCTGTATAAAACACCACAAGGCTTAGAAGAGGCAGAGAAAACACCAGGAGATCACGATGATCAGACCGGATTGGTGTAAACGGTTTAATACAGAGCCACAACTTATCCATAATAGATCACTACATAGCCTGCAGTCATTTAATCCAGCCTATTACTGCCGTGTAATCCCCTTTACAGGCGAGGCTTTAACACAACTTTCAGCACATTGTGTCAGATTCTAACACTTAGATCAACTCAGGATACATTCAAAGGTTAGACGGATCCATGCTGCGTTTAAAAATGCCCTGAAACCTCAAAATGCTGCTTATAATCAAAAGTAAAAACAAACAAAAAACACCAAAACAAGCCATGTTTCAGTTTGCGAGCAGGAAGAGAAAGAAAGTCAAAAACATTCCCAGCCTGCTTCCAGTGTGAGCGCACATGTGTTGGCCTGGTTTATGGGTCAGTTTGGGCTCTAATGAACCCGGTCAGACTCCGGCCGGCCTCATATGGCCACCAGCGTCCGTTGAGTCGGTGCGTCTGCACCTTTTTCCAGCCAAAATAACGTCTGACACAATAAAAGCGCAACGCAAAACAAACGGCGCGGAGCCTGTTGGCCAAAGAAAAAGAAAAAAAAAAGTAATTAAGAAAAACTGTCTGACCTACATAAAGGAAGCGCCTCGGAAGGAAGCGCAGGTTAATATGCTAATATGGATCTGCTAATTGTGGGGATTTACTGTGTCGTTTCGGCGGAGGGGAGGAGGCGCGGGGGGCGTCGCTGCCTCGGTTAAGCCTTCAAGATCTGCAGCAAATTAATTTCTTTTCATGGGGCGAGGAGAGCAGAAGAGGCAGGAAACAGGTGTTGAAGGAGGAACAGACCGCTGAAGGGTCCAGGGGCGTTTCCAGAAAGTTTGGTCAGGGTGGCCAGAAAGGAAACACTGAACTCTGAAATGTAGGTCTGTAGAAAAAATAACAACAAAAAACCCAAAACAGATCAAACCAATAAAAAAAATCCCTAAAAAAAATGCAATCAGGTCGTTTAAAATCGGTATTTCACATGTTCACGCCTTAGTTTTTTAGCTTCTGCAACATTTTGAAAGACTTTCCCTCTGATAGCTTCCTAAAAAAACAAAAACAATAAAGGTACATTAAAATGAACAAATGATCTTTTTTGAGAAAATGTGTGACAAGAATAAAAAATAAAGAACATTACAAAGCTGACTTGCCTTAGAAATGAGTTAAGTTTAAAAAACATTAACGATTTAATGGATGTGATACTGTAAAAGCATAAATAAATAAGTTAGGGCAACCTTTTAAAACATCTCTTATGTACTAAATTGTAGCTTAATATAATAGCTAAAGACAGTTAAGTCCATGTCATTCAAGTTGTAGCAAAAACTTTTATTAAGTTGAGCTCCACAGTTAAAGTTGATACAAATTAATTGAGTTAAAGCAACAAGTGAAGTTGAGTCAGAAAATATGTTTTTACAGCTCAGTCCATTTATGGGATACTAACTAACTAACTAACTAACTAACTAACTAACTAACTAACTAACTAACTAACTAACTAACTAACTAGTTAAAAGTCAATAAGCTAGTTTTTATCTTATTTCAGGCTTCAAATTCATACAAAAACAACACAAACTCTCCAAATAATGGAAAGACAAATACCAAATAATAAATTAATGCTTATTACATATTCAGAAATAATAACATACTTATGAGGCAGGTAGTAGCCAGACTGTTTTCAATACATGAAATAAATACAAAAGGAAGAACAAAAAAATCATTGAAGCTCACATTTTGCTCTTTTAAATTTGCATCAAAATGAACATTCAGTGCTGCCCCCTGTTGGTGGCGCCATTGCTCATGTTAAATCTGCGTTATTGTTAATTTCTGTCCCTAATTTCTCTTAATATCACATTATCGCCCATGTTAATCTCCTGTCAGCTGCACATGGTATATTATATTAATAATCACGTGACCTGGGGTACCCCCCCACCCCCCTCCCTCCTCTTTACAACCACCAGTCAGGACTTTTTGTTTACTTCACGGACCCTCCAGAAAACAGGGACAACACGCGTCCTTTGGTTACCTGCAACAACCGAGTATCATTGCCGGTCTGTGTTGCCAATTAGCGCGTTTAATTGTTGCTTCTTTGTTGCCGTAATTACTCGGGAAGTCAGCGGAGAGGTTGAATCCAGGTCAAACACGTGTCATCTGCTGCGAATAAACAGAAGAAAGAAAAGGCCAATCTGCTCCCAACTGACATGGCGATGGTAATTATGAACAAGCCTTTAGAGTTTAAGAAAAGGAGCCCAGTGACGTCTTTTCTTCCTGTGTGACGTTGATTTATTAAAGTAATAATTTGGAGAAGGCAGCAGGATCGCGATCGACTGCTAATGAGTGTTCGGTTGGTGGGTTTAGTTGCTTCCAAGCCATCAATTAATGGTCTTCTGCGCGGAATGATTAACAGTACTGTTAATAAACGATTACAAGCATCAGCCGTGCAGGAGCGAAGCTGTAAAATTGATTTGGAAAACTTAACTCCAGCAGCTGTTGGATTAGTGTGAGCCTGCTGCGTGTGCGCGCGTCCGTGCGCGTCGATCGAAGTTCATTAACTTCTCATTTCAAGAGTTTCTGAAGTGCTCCTGAAGATCACACGAAAGCCAAAAGTCTTTCGACTATTTCCCGTGCAGATGGGAGGAAAAGAGCAACGCTCTAAGATTTTCATCACCTCTCTTATGATCCTGGGTTGTTTTTTTTTTTTTCCTCCTCCAAAGTGAGATCCTTCAGCGTTTCAGACAAGATGTAAAAATCTGCTCCGTGTCTGTTTATTTAGACTGATGATTCTCCCATTGTGTCGGTGGGATTTCAGATCCATTCGGATAATTACCCCTATTAAGAGCAGAATAATGGTGATATCCGTGCGCGTTATTGCTTCAGAAGTGGCTCCAGGCTTTACTCTGAATGGAGGCTTCAATGCCAAGAGTTAAATGGATCTTTGAGGGTTGAATTAATTTTCAGTACGTTGGGAGGTTTTTAACTGAAACCTGGCATCTGTAGGATGTATAAATCCAACATGCGCTGGAAAACAATCCAATCAGATGAGCTTCCTTTAATCTGGGTGTAATGTTGTGTTTCAGTCGATTTTTGTGCCAAGATATGTTAGTTCTGGCCCAGTTCAACCTGCTCTAACAGCTCAGTGATGGTTTTGCTTTAATGGTGCATTAAGAACCATTTTAGTAAATCAGTGTAGAATAATTTAATCTGCATTACAGATTTGGTAATTGTTGTTTTTCATTCTTGTCTCAATCTAAGGAGGGATCTTAATGCCAAAAATCTTATATTTTGTTTTCTTTTTCTGAAAGTGAGCTTTAGAGAAACTCATTGCAAAAATGATCCTGTTAGCATTTAAGAGCTTTACATTTTAAAGCAGTGCAGATTTCTTAGAAAGAACACAGAAACCCAAAGAAGGCTTAAGAAAGCTGAAAAAGTGAAAAAGATTTGAGTTACATCAGGTGCTACTCAGTGTCCAGTTCACGCTGCAAAGTCCGTTTTTAGAAAACGCTGGAATCTGATCCCAAACTATATTTAGTTTTTTAAACCAGAAATAAAAGAATTAGATCATTTTGTTAAAGGATTTTTTTACTTTTGCATGATTTGTTTAAACTTACATGTTGGGAAAAACTGCAAGAAAATTAGAATTATGAGCATAAATGTGATTAATTATATTTATGATGTGTTTTTCCTGTGATTCTTCCACCTTGGTGTTGATCTCAATAAGCTACTTTTTTATTTATGTGCTTTAAACTTTGACCCCAAAGGGACTTCATCAGGTTCATTTCAATATTGCATAACAATATCTGTGCATAATATAGTGGTTGGTGTTTGTAAGTGTGGATTTTAGGTTTTCTAATCATGAGTAAATGTTACATGTGGGGAAATAATTTGTGCATCTTTCTGATTATTGGATGTGATCGATCAAACATTTAAAACCACGTTCAGTTTGTTTGACTTTTCTTACAAAAAAAAAACAGAAAAACTGAAATTTTCCCTTATTTTATCTTTTGAAGCTGGACATCATAAACCAATCTGTGCTGTTTTATTGGAAATAAATAAAAAAGAAAAGGTGTTTTGGTGGAAAGCTGATGGATATCTTTATTTATTTATTTTTACATTTTTGAGGGTTTTTGCCACTCTCAAACAGATGTCGCCCTGGGCAGCGACCAACATCTACTTCATTAAAACTGCCACTGCAACAACTTTTCTGTGGATTCCAGCTTTTTTCAAGCAAACCTTTCTTCTCGTTTCTCCAGTTTTTACACATTTGCTTTTTGAAAACAGTTGGACTTTAAAGAATAAACTTTAATTTGTTTTGTTTGTAATAAAAGTTCAAACTAAAATAAATTACTTGTGTTTTTTTTCCTTTCAGTATTTATAAATGCAGCCTTGAAAGTTCTGATAAACTCATTAAAACATCTGTAACATGAGAAAAAGAATAATAAACTGGTTTGTATTTTCATTTATCCAAATGCCTGCCTCTGTTTTTGTTGCTTTTTCCATGATGACTTTAACACTACAAGTGAAATGCTGCTTTATTATTTTTAAGAATTGATTTTTCATACTGTAACCAAGGAAGTTGGTATGTTTTTAAATGTCAACCTTCCTGTTAGCCACTCATTTTGCCTTCTTGTTTTCATATAAAAGGTGTTTACTATATAAAACTATGAATGTTTTATGGTTTTTGTTTCTGTTTTGTAGTTTCTTCAGTTTTTTTCTCGCTTGTTCTTCTCGTCCCTGCCAGCAGAGGGCGCCACTTGGGCCATGCAGCCCGAGGGGAGATTAACACTCTGGTCTCTGTGAAAACACACACACACACAAGCATCTTCTCCCACGTTCAGACCCAGTAAGTGTACACACGGTGGGTTTGGTGTGTGGGGGTGATGCAGGTTCAATGACTTTGATCGTGTAATTCCTGTGTAATCTCTGTAATCTCTTAAAGCAGAGCTGTTTGAATATATGTTGTATGAGTGCAGAATGAGCAAGAAACGATGTGTGTAGTGTACACTGAATTAGCGAGCCGAGACAGAGGCCGAGACTTCTGCAAAAAGGAAATCTTTAAGCATAAAACGATCTGGCCACCCGCTCTTTCTGTTTTTTGTTTTTTTTTACTCCAGTCCAGACAGAAAAATACAGGCTGAAGGTTTTATTCTCCTTTACTTTTGTTCCAGTGGTTCTGTGAGGAATGACAGGGCAGACAGAGTCAAACCTTCTTGCTACGAGCTCTGTTGTTTCATCTGTTGAGAGAATGTCCCCAGGAAGTGGACGGACGTTTCAGAACCAGAGACAGAAATATGAAATGTTAACAAGGCGCCAGATGAAGGCCTGCAGGCGCCAAACTCTGACCGTTCCTGTTGGTGTACAGTGGAAATGTAACTTAAACTGTATGTGTACAAGTATTGAATAACTTCATAACAAAATACAATATTAAAGTCTGATTTAAATGCTGTGTGAGATAAATGTACAAATTATCACCAAAGGTTTGTCTGAAATTGAAAGATGTTTTCATGTGAATCATTCAGCAAATAAAATACATCTTGAAAACTGAAACTACTGATTAAAAAGAAGGAAAACTAATTTATTTAGTCATAAATCAGGTGTTTTAAATAATTTTGAGCTCTGAAAAATGCAGATATTACTTGAAATTGTTATTTTTTCTCATTTTGACCAGAGATCTGAATGAGTTTCATTGGGATTTTATGCAGTAGACCAACAGAGAGTAGAGCTCAATGTAAAATGAAAGGAAAATGATACATTATTTATAGTATTTCTCCATATCTACATGCTCATACAGTCAATGTGTAGCAGAAAGCTGTAAGTAAAACACGGTGGAGGCAGCATCATGCTGTGGGAATCTTCGGGGATCCTGGTCAGAGTTGATGGGAAGATGGATGTTACGATATAATGAATTGATCTGGATTAAAAATGAAAGTATATTCATGTGTCAGAACAGCCCAGTCAAAGTCCAGGCCTAAATGTAAACAATTGGAGCAAAACTCAAAAAATGTGAAAAAAAGATGTGGAGAAATAAATTAGTAATATTCATAGAGACATATCCCAAAATGCTTGCAGCTGTAATTACAGTTTGAACTTTTATTTTGAAAACCATGTATTATTTTCAAATATACATTTTGTTTTGGTTTATGATATAGATATCTAATAAAATTACTAAAAATCTGGCTGTATCTTGAAAAAGATTTGTTTTATGCCAACAGTTACAAAGCAAACCTAATTAATGTTGTTTTTTGCAAAGTGGTGATATATTTAAATTGAGAAAATAAAACAAAATAAAGAAAATAAAATAGAAAATAAAACAAAAATTTGAAAATGCATGAAAGCTCAGAAAGAATGAGGTTTTAAAATCACAAGTTGCTACATTTATGTTGCAAAACAACAGCATAGCAGCTTAAGAGTTACGTAAACAACTAAAAGCATAAAAAGCTGTTTGGTTCACCAGCAGAATGAAGAAATCAGCAATCAATTATCTAATCAAGAAGGTGCAGGTCTGCAAGAATAAAAGAGTTTATTACAGGATTTATTGATACAGTTTTAAAAACAAACCTCACGTTGTGACATCACAGACCGAGAAGTAGAAAAATTCAGAGACTAAATGTTTTGTGCAGAATGACGGAAAATAACCAACATTGTTGCTGCGAATCATAACTTTAAATAGTCAAGGCAGGAAAAGCTTCAACAGCATCAGATTCAAAATACAGAATAAAGTTTGACTTTATATCGTCAAGGTTGGTCTGTTAAAGAACAATGTTATGCTGTAGAGCTAACGCTAGCTGAAACGTTGCTGTTTGTGGTCCAGTCCTGAATCACAAACTCCACAGGTTCAGTTATCACTGCAGTCTGGCTGCATAAATTAAATGCTCTCTGAATCATCACCACCTTCTAAAACTCTCAGAAAAATGTGATGAAATCTAAAGCCGAGCCGATTCTGGTTTGTTTTGACCTGCTGTACAATCCAAACCTTCTTCACCTGAAGATCACAAACTGAAAGTTGGCCATTTTGATTCAGCATTTCCTGCCAGCATTGAATCCATTATTTTTAAATAATCGATTACAGAAAGTTACTCAGATCTTACTGGAGGCTTAAAGCCTCTCCAGACTTTTAACTGACTTAGTTTCTGGTGTTTTCCACTTTATTTAGCCTGATTTCCTGCATTTTGAGATCTGCCTACTTCGTGTTGTCAGACAGGTTCAGGTCTGGGTGGAGCTTGTGAAAGTGATCCAAAAAGTTTCTTATTCACTGGATCTTAAATAAGATCCAGGAAGGAGGGAGATTATGGCACACATGGCTTTTATCTCTTTAGAAATGTTGAAAAATCAATTAAAAACGTAATATTTGTCTGATAAAAAGCTGATTGATTATTTGAAACATTTAAATGAACCTTTAAGTGTGAAGTGTTTATTTAACCAAACAAAACACGTTGATCCGTTTAGCGTGTGAAAACCAGTGGTGGGAAGTAACGAAGTACAAGTACTTCGTTACTGTACTTAAGTACAGTTTTTGAGTACTTTCTCCACCACTGGTGAAAACTATACAGGAGATTTGGTTGTTTCAGTGGCGCTAAGCTACGCTAAGCTAAACAATTAGCCAGTTTAGCTTAGCATAGCTAGCGCAGTTGTGCTAACTCTACTCACCTTATCAACATAAAATGAAAACTAGTGAACCATTATAGATTACACATCGCAAACAGCTGTTTATTTACCCTCTTTCCTCCTTTATGTAAAGTTTTTTGTGAGCAACCTGCCAACATGGAAATGAGCCACTTGGCTATAATCTCATATATTTGCACGTAAATGTTAATATTTAATGTCCCGTTTAAAAAAAATCAACTGAAAACAATCAACACAAGTCAATAAATAAACAAATAAATTACATGTTGAGCTGTAAAAACCAACTTTGGTCGGGTTGTTAAAATTTCACAACGTGGCGAGTTTTAGAAAATGTTCAGAGGAATTTCTTTTAAAATCGTCATCATTGTGTGGCAGAAAAGCACAAAACTTTAAATAAAATGCCAACATCAAGTGACATCATTAATGATTAGTCCCTGCCTGGTTAATCAGGAGTCACTCTGTACTGTAAAACAGAAATATCATCATGATTTAAAATGACACAAAAAACACAAATATCGTTGTGCTCAAAGAGTCAAGTTCACTGCCGTCCCAATAACGGGATTTAATGACAGTCGCAAAAGGTCAATGGGACAAATAGATATAAACATGAGTTTCACTAGAGATTGAGATTTGCTTTTTCTTCTTTTACTTTTTAGCTGAGCTGGTTTTACATTGTCGTTCGGCCCGAAACTGTAAATCTGCCACTTAACTGAAATAAGTAGGACTTTAAAAGCCTCTGCATCACTTGACTGCGTGCAGGAGAAATCATGTGGATCCAGTGTGCCTTTCTGGCTAAAACATTCTCACAGCTCTACAGATTACACATTAGCATACTTGTTCAATCTCAGACTCTCAGCACTGAAAACATATATTACGAGAAAAGAAATAAACAAAGATCAAAACTTTGTCTTTCTTCCTGACAGGCCACCATTAGCCGTATTGATTTCAAGCCCTCAGCCCCGCCATGTTCTCCGTTCGGCCCCGTAATGCTTTTGTTTATCCTCCGATGTGAGTCGGGGAGGATCTGAAGCGCAGATGAAACGGAGCCCAACCCGACCGGAGAGCAACGGGAGGCGCTTGTGAAACTTGTCGACAGAGTTGGTCAATTATAAGCGACTCCTCGGGCTTTGAGCCCCGCGGTCGGTCGGTCGGCCGCCTAATTCCTGCGCTGCAGAGGAAACCTGTTTACTGTGGAACAGCGTGGGACGATGTCAACCACAGCTGTACGCGCAAGGCGCCCGAGATCACAGATCCGCCGCGTCGTGGCAAGACAAACACTCACATTACATTACACACTCTCACACCCACAACACACGCAGACACACACCGCAGCAGCATCACTGATGTGTGTGTTAAAGAGGGGAGGGGCCAGCTCGGCTCCCGTATAATTACCAGGAAAGTCTCCTGATGTGGAACCTTTGCTGTTCTCACAATGAACCTATTTACTGTTGGAAACCATCAAACACCTCCTGCACACACACACACACACACACACACACACACACACACACACACACACACACGGAGGTTTAAATACACCAACAGAGAAACGTATACACACACGCAAACCATTTCAAACGAATACAGAGAAATAAACAGAGACGAGCGCACACAACCCCTTCACACCTCTGGGAATTTTACTATTCCGTACTTCTCTGCTTCTCTCATCCCTCTCTCTCTCTCTCCCTCTCTCTCTGTTTTTCGTCTCTTCCTGTGCTCCTTTGTCTCCCTGATTATGCAGTCGATCCCAGGGTGCTCCACTCACTGAGATCATCCACCTGTCAATCTGAGCCACACATACACACCTTTTTTTTTTTTTACTTATTTTTTTTGCACACACCATTCCACCAGTGATATTGATACAGAGGAAATATTAATGACTTCACTCACCTGCAATATGCTGCTGTGTCTTGCACTTCCAACACCAGGCCATGCAATTCGTCAAGACGCACTTCTCGAAACTTCCACTCAAATGAAAACAAAAGAGAGAAACGTGGTGAAATAACACTGCATGCTTTGTCCCTGAACACACACACACACACACACACACAGAGAAATGTCAGAAGGTGTCATATCAAGTGGTGAAAAATGCAAGATGGCGTGTTATTTTAGCACATCTTTAACTCTTGTCACTCATTTTTTTGTGCGCTTTGACAAATCTTTTTCGTAGTTGTTTTCTACAATCGTATCACATCAGATGTTGTTATGTTTGCGCTCAGGAGGAAACAGAACAAACGGTGGAAACCAGAGAAAATGAAGGTGATTAGAGACGAGTTTCACACATTCATAAGCTGCCTTGGTCTTGCGATGAAGTGAAAATCAAATCATCCAAAGTAGACTTAAAGGAAAGACTTGTTGCAGCATCTGCACTATTTTTTCTATAGTTTTAGAGTGAATGTGAGCAACTAATAACGAAAGCAAAGATTTAGATTTAGGATTCAGGTTATTGCAGGATGAGGCGGGTTGGGGATGGATTCAGAACTACAAATGTTTCCTGCAAGTTGAAGATAAAGAATCTTTTCTCTCCATTTACCTCGAGTTCAGCTGCTTCAGTTTGTTGTAATCCCAACATTGAGTCATCCTGCTTCTTTTATGAAGCTTTTATGTGCTTACTTACACAAAGTGGATGAAGATAAGGGGCGGATAAAGACAAGGTTTCAGGGAGAGACCCAAATGCAAACTACAGAAGACTGAAAGCTAAAAATATTTTTAAAACGTCTTTGTGGCTAAGAAGTTACCAAAAAGTCTCCAAAACTGGCAAAAATAAAAATAAAAATGGCCCAAATATGTAAAAACAACCATCATTTAGCACAAGAAGAACAACAAAAATGCAATTCTATGCTGACGACGCATTTCTACATTATAAAGATAAAAAAGGAAATTTTATGGTAAATCCAATTTAGTTGGTTTCTCTTATGGATTAT